CCTCTCCAGCAAAAATTGTCACAAGTGTTTTTTTTTATTTTAGCCATTCTGACAGGAGTTAGATGGTATCTCAAAGTTGTTTTGATTTCCATTTCCCTGATGGATAAGGATGTTGAGCCCTTTCTTAAGTGTCTCTCAGCCATTTTAGACTCCTCTATTGAGAATTCTCTATTTAGTTCTGTTCCCCACCTTTTAATCGGATCCTTTGGTGTTTTGGAAACTTGCTTCTTGAGTTCTTTGTAAATTTTGGAGATTAGCCCTCTGTCACATGTGGGGTTAGTGAATATCTTTTCCCATTTTGTGGACTGACTTTTTGTCTTATTGACTGTGTCCTTTGCCTTACAGAAGCTTTTTAGTTTCAGGAGGTCCCATTTGTTAATTGTGGATCTCAGTGCCTGTGCCACTGTAGTTATGTTCAGGAAGTGGTCTCCATTTAGTTTGATGTTAGCTGTTGGTTTACTGTATATGGTTTTTATTATGTTCAGGTATGTTCCTGTCATCCCTGATCTCTCTAGGACCTTTATCATGAAGGAGTGCTGGATTTTTTTCAAAGGCTTTTTCAGCATCTAGTGAGATGATCATGTGTTTTTTTTTTCACAATTTGTTTATATGGTGGATTACATTGATAGATTTTTCTAATGTTGAACCATCCCTGCATTCCTGGGATGAAGCCTACTTGATCATCGTGCATGCTTTTTCTGGTGTGTTCTTGAATCTGCTTAGCTAGTTTTTTTTTTTTTGGTTTTATTGAGACAGGGTTTCTCTGTATTGTTTTGGAGGCTATCGGTCCAGCCTGGCCTCGAACTCACAGAGATCCGCCTGACTCTGCCTCCCGAGTGCTGGGATTAAAGGCATGTGCCACCACCGCCCGGCTTAGCTAGTATTTTATTGAGTATTTTTGCATCGATGTTTATGAGGGAAATTGGCCTATAGTTCTCTTTCTTAGTTGTGTCTTTGTGTGGCTTGGGTATCAAGATTATTTTAGCCTTGTAAAAAGAGTTTGGCTGTGAGCCTCCTGCTTCTATTGTGTGGAATACTTTGAGGGGTATTGGAATTATCTCTTCTTTGAATTTCTGGTAGAATTCTGCACTGAAGCCCTCTGGGACTGGGCTTTGTTTGGTTGGGAGACTTTTGATGACAGCTTCTATATCATTGAGGGATATAGGTCTGTTTAGATTGTTTATCTGTTCTTGATTTAGTTTTGGCAAGTGATATCTATCAAGGAAATTGTCCATTTCCTTTAAATTTTTGAATTTTGTGGAGTACAAATTTTCAAAGTATACCCTGATGATTCTCTGGATTTCCTCAGTGTCCGTTGTTATGTCCCCCTTTTCATTAGCATGTTCTCTCTCTGTCTTTTGGTTAATTTGGACAGAGGATTGTCTATTTTGTTAATTTTATCAAAGAGCCAACTCTTTGTTTCATTGATTCTTTGCAATGTTTTCCTGGTTTCTACTTGATTGATTTCAAACCTCAATTAGATTATTTCCTGGTATCTTCTCCTCCTCGGTGAGTTTGCTTCTTTTTGTTCTAGAGCATTCAGTTGTGCTATTAATTCTCTAGTGTGACTGTTCTCCAGTTTCTTCATGTGGGCACTTAGTACTTAGAACCTTACTCTCAGCACAGCTTTCAGAGTATCCTTTAAGTTTGGGTATATTGTGTCTTCATTCTCATTGAATTCCAGGAAGTCTTTAATTTATTTTTTTATTTCTTCCCTTACCCAGGGATGGTGCAATTGTGCAGTGATCAATTTCCATGAGTTTGTAGGGTTTCTGGGACTTGTGTTATTGTTGAATTCTAATTTTAATTCATGCTGGTCTATAAGATACAAGGGGTTATTCCAATTTTTTGTATCTGTGGAGATTTGCTATGTTTCCTATTATGTGGTCAATTTTAGAGAAGGTTCCATGTGGCACCAAGAAGAAGGTATATCCCTTTGTGTTTGGGTGGAATGTTCTATAGATGTCTATTAAACCCAGTTGGGTGATAACTTCTATTAGTTCTTTTCTTTCTTTGTTAAGTATCTGTCTGGAGGTCCTGTGTAGTGGTGAGGGCCGAGTGTTGAAGTCTATTAGTGTGTGAGATTTTATGTGTGATTTGAGCTTTAGTAATGTGTCTTTCACGAATGTAGGTGCCTTTGAATTTGGGGCATAGATGTTCAAAATTGAGACTTCATCTTGATGGACTTTACCTTTGATGAATATGAAATGTCCTTCTTCATCTCTTTTGATTGATTTTGATTTGAAGTCCAGTTTGTTAGATACTAGGATTGCTACACACGCTTGTTTCTTGGGTCCGTTTGATTGGAAAATCTTTTCCCAACCCTTTACTCTGAGGTATCGTCTGTCTTTGATGTTGAGATCTGTTTCTTGTATGCAGCAGAAGGATGGGTTCTGTCTTCGTATCCATTCTGCTAGACTGTGTATTTTGATAGGCAAGTTGAGAACGTTGACATTGAGGGGTATTAATTACCATTGATTGATGATTCTTGTTTGTGCTTGATTTATTGGTAGTGGAGTTATTTTGTGTAGGTACTCCTCCCTTTTTCTTTTGGTGTTTGGTAAAGTGGGATTATCTATTGCCTGTTTCTTTGTGAGTGTTGTTATCTTCATTGGGTCTAGGTTTTCCTTCTAGCACTTTCTGTAGAGCTGGATTCATGGATCTGTATTGTTTAAATCTGACTGTGTCATGGAATATTTTGTTTTCTCCATCTATGGTAATTGAAAACTTTGCTGGATATAGTACTCTGGCTGGAATCCTTGTTCCCTTAGCATTTGTAGGGCATGTGTCCAGGATCTTCTGGCTTTCATAGTTTCCCTTGAGAAGTCAGGTGTAATTCGGATAGGTCTGCCTTTATATGTTACTTGGCCTTTTTCTTTAGGTGCTCTTAGTATTTTCTCTTTATTCTGTAGGTTTGATATTTTGATTATTATACGGCAAGGTGACTTCTTTTTCTGGTCCAGCCTATTTGGTGTTCTGTAATATTCTTCTATTTTACTGGGCGGTGGTGGTGCACTAGGGAGGCAGAGGCAGGCAGATCTCTGTGAGTTCGAGGCCGGGCTGGACCGACAGCCTCCAAAGCAATACAGAAAATCCCTGTCTCGTAAAACCAACCAAAAAAAAAAGATTTTTGTATTTTCATAGGCATATCCTTCTTTATGTTAGGGAAGTTTTCTTCTATGATTTTGTTAAATATGTTTTCTGTACCTTTGAGCTGTATTTTTTCGCCTTCTTCTATACCTATTATTTTCAGGTTTGGCTTCTTCATGGTGTCCCATATTTCCTGGATATTTTGTGTTAGGGATTTGTTGGTTTTGAGATTTTCTTTGGTTGATGACTGTATATCTTGTAATGAGTGTTCAACACCTGAGATTCTCTCTTCTAGCTCTTGTATTCTATTGGTGATACTTGCATCTGTAGTTCCTGATCATTTACCCAGCTTTTCTATTTGCAGCATCCCCTTATTCTGTGTTTTCTTTATTGTTTCTATTTCAGCTTTCAATCCTTCAACTGTTTGAGTTGTTTCCTTCATTTGTTTGGTTGTTTTTTCTTGGTACTCTTTAGATTCTTCGAGAGATTTGTTTAGTTCTTGAATTTTTCCCCATTTCATCGATTTTTTGTATGTTTTTTCTTCTATTTCTTTAAGGGATTTCCTCATTTCCTCTTTGGGGGTCTCTATCATCAACATAAAATAATTTTTAAGGTCTGTCTCCTCTGCTTCATCTATGTAGTGCTTTTCAGGTCTTGCTGGTGTTGATTCTCTAAATTCTGGTGGAGTCATGTTGGTCTTTCTATTGCTGAGTGTGCTCTTATTCTGACTTCTTCCCATCTTTTCTTCCAGTGGGTGCAGGTGGGGTCTTTCTGTCTCCTTCCTTCCTGAAGCTGAAGCTTGGGAAGCTGACACTGAAGCTGAAGCTGAAACTGGGGTCGCTGGAGGTTGGAGCCTGGAAGGGCTGATGTCTTTCCTGTGTGGGCAGGTCTTCTGGATGCCAGGAGCAGGCCCCAGGAAGATGGAGGGGATGGGTGTTGGGCACAGGATGAGTAGCCTCCCCCCGGAGACCCAAGCTCACCTGAACCTGGGATCTGCGGAGGTTGGGGCCTAGAAGCCCCATTTCAACTACTTTTTGACCAGTTCTAATGGCTTTTGGCAACAATTAGAGTTTTTATTTTTAAATTTTAAAATAGAAACAATCTTATTTTACATACAATCCCAGTGTGTGTGTGTGTGTGTGTGTGTGTGTGTGTGTGTGTGTGTGTGTGTTAGCATGTGGAGACAGAAAGGAGGGATGTGTCTCTAAAGGTTGGATACAGGGATACAGGTTTTGCCACAAATGTTGTGACAGACTTTGATGATTCCCCCATGGGAGGCCTTACCCTCTCTGATGAGTGGATGGGAGGTGGGATGGGGAGATGGTGGGGGAAGTGGGAGGATGGGAAGGAGAGAGAACTGGGATTGGAATGTAAAATAAGGTTGTTTTAATTTAAAGAAAATGAACTGGATAAAAATAAACATTATTAATGAAGAAATAAATGAACATTTTTCTTCCAGGTCAGAAATCAACAAGCTTAGAGCTTATAAACTCTAGCACCTTGAAATGAAAATTAGGTATGCATAAATATAAACATGTTTCTATATTTGTAAATTTAACAATTATATAAGCTAACTACAGAAACAAGTCAAGTGGATGTTTAAGATAGTCAAACTCACTGTATCTTTCACAATGATAAATTTCACAAGCTCTTAAGCTTTTTGGTCCCCTGTGTATCTTACAACACACAATCCTGAGCTATGTTCACTATTACATCACTAGCAGTCAGCTTCTTGACCATTCTTCTTCCCTTCCTAACACTTGCTCAGACACTGACTTACACATATGTTTTCTTGACCTATGAGCTCCATTGAAAATGAGGAAAATGTGGGAAATGAGAGAAAAGTCTTTGCAAATAATCATTCCAACTTGCACCCCACTGCTAAAAGTGTGAGATTTCAGGAAACTCACAGTTTAGACGAGCCATCACCAATCCATTGCCAATTGCTTTTGCTTATATTGTATGACAATCCAATCCAGTAACTGCTTGTAGTAAGCTGGACCTTCAAGAACTTCTGTAAGGGAAATGACACATTCAATGATAAAAATTCTGTCTGGTGATAAAACAACAACATAGTATTTCCCAGCTATTCTTAAGTCAGTTCTCTGCTGTCCTGTCCTCCAGTGCTTCATTCCATCCAAGTTCAATTTTAAAGTGATTTCTCTCAGGTAGATCATTTATGTCTAACCCAATGTCAGTTATACAAGTTATTTATTTATTTATTCATTTATTTATTTTGGTTTTTACAAGACATGGTTTCTCTGTATTGTTTTGGAGGCTATCGGTCCAGCCCGGCCTCAAACTCACAGAGATCCGCCTGCTGGGATTAAAGGCGTGCGCCACCACCGCCCGGCTATACAAGTTATTTAAAATGAAAATTTCAGGTGTCTCCAGATAAATGATTCATGAAATGATTAATGTCTGTGTTTCTCATAGAACTCTTACAGTGTAACAAAGAATGGCCTTGAACTCATAATCTCCCTGATTCAGATTTCTAAATGCACATTGTTTACCAGCTCCTTAAGTAAGTCTGACACTTTCTGAAATTATTCAGATGCACATTTCAGAAGATTATAGACCCATGTGGGAAATGTTCATCTGAGGCAACCCAGTCTTCAAATCAAATTCATTAACATGGAAAGTCCTCTGTGAAAATCTGCCTTATCCTCCATGTTCCAGAGAGGAAGCCATGCTATATATTCATACCCAAAAGTGACAGAACTTATGGAAGAGGGAGATATTTGATGAAATTAGTGTCTCTTATATGTGACATACGAGTGGAACAATGACTAATAAAATTATTGAATACATTTTAGGACAGAAGTTTAAATTTACCTATGTTTATTATATCACATGAGAAATATCACTATTGACATTAAACTTTATTCCATGCTGCAATTATTCAGATATGTATTAAACTTGTGGAGAAATTGTGCAGCATATTCTAAATGTCACAGGTTTCAAGCTGAGCATTCAACCATTTCTCTAGAAAAATAACCTCTCTGTATTTGAAGAAATTTCCTTAGTGGCCATTTTTTCCTTCAAATACACATTTTGAGAGATAGGTATCTTTTTATGAAACATGAGAATATTATGAAATAAATATTATGTACAGATTCAGTGAAAGTCAACGTGGGTATAACCATAAAAACCATTTAATTTCACAGTTCTTATGTAATTTCTATTTTGCAAATTTACCCAGAGGCCAGTTTCTTTCCCTACTGTCATCTAATTACTCATCTCAGGTAGCGTTACTTCTGAATTCCAAAGAGCATGCCCTAGACCATGGCCTATCTGGGTGTATTTGCACTCTGTAGAGATACATAAATGTCAGTCACAGAATGCACTGTACTAAAGGATTAAACGTATTCAGGGAATATATGCATCTCTGAAGGACTCTCTTACTGACTTCCGAGAAGGGGAGGAGATTACAAAAACACAACTGTCTCTTTCGTAAAGAGTCCCCTCGTAATAGACCCTGTGTCCTGACAGTAAGCCATGAGCAGGAGGGAGTATCCCCAAAGACTCTTAATACAGTGTTTGTTCTTGTTCTTGAAGGTCTTTCATTCAAATCACCTGTCAGGATTCAGTGTGTTACTATCCAAGAGTTAGCAACAGAGCCTAAGAGAATACATGGGCATGTTAGGAGTCTACAGTACCAGTTCATCATCATTGTCGATCTTCAAAAGGGATAAGCTGCAGTCCTCACAGGTCTGTTTACATCCATTCCAGTGTTTATTGTCCATGAGGAAATAAAAACATTTTATGCCACAGCAGAACCAGTGTCCTTCAACATGTTTGACTACAACAGAGAAGGGGGATGGTTAAAATTATTTTTTCTGTCAATTTGCTATTAAAACAATGTATTTATTATACATTTATAACTAAGTAAAATCTCACAGCTTCTCAGAAATTGAGATTCTAGAATGGTGAGAGAGCCCTGCACACCTGTGCTCTTGCAGCACTGTTTATAAAAGAGATATGGATAAAATTTAAGTGTTCATTATGAATGAATCAATAGAGAAAATATAACATACATACAAAGGAATGCTATTCACCTTTGAAAGGGAAGTAAATCCAGTTGGACATGAAGACTTATACCTATAAGACCAGCACTACATAGGCTGAGGCAGGAGGTTCATCTCCAATTTGAAGGCATCCTTGGTTATTCAGTGAATTCCAGGCTAGCCTTGCCTATATAGTTCATTCAAAATGCCTTGGTTATACAATGAAACCGTTTCTCACAGCTAACCCATGAAAATAGCAAACCTGACCTGTGAGACCCACTGTACAATATGAGTCTTCCAGGTGACTCCTGACTGCTCCCCCCTTAAGCTCTCAACACAGCATCTGCTATGAGTAGATTCATCACTAACGAGGAAGCAGAATTTCTGCAATAATTCTCTTTCTCAGAAGTCTACAGGAAAGTCTATCAGAGAAACATGGATGAATTTGAAGACAGAATGAGAAGTGAAACAAAAAACAAAAAAGGGCCAGGACCATACATTTTATTCCACTTAGATGAGGTTTCTAACACAGTCCAGCTCTAAGAAGCAGGGGTTTGTACAATCTCAGGGATGGAGGGAGAGGAAATGAGCACTTGCTGCTCAGAGAGGGATGCAGGATGCAAAGAAGATCTGCATTAATGCACTGTGCCCACAGTTACCCACATTCTACTGTGTACTCACAGCTATGCTGTGGTCCATGTTAGATGCTGTTACCTTAAGTGAAATAAGAAAAACACAAGGAAAGGTTTGATGGTGATTTTCTGTTCTCCTGCCTTCACAGTACACCCACATGCCCAAAGTGTCTAATTTGAATACATTAAAACATATGTCATTTGTATAGCTACATTTCAATGTGATTTATTTGTTTACTCTGGTGCTGGGGGGCCCCATTCTTTATTAATAAAACTTTATGTCAATCCCTTGATTTTGTGAAAAGAGGTATCAACAAAGTTTAATTAAGGTTGGCTTCGAATTTGCCGAATGCCTAGACTGTCCTCAAATTTGCAATCCTCCTGCCTAATCATAAGCATGGAAAAATCATGTTACCATTTAGAGATGACAGTTACTTTATTCTAAAATAACATTAGTAAACATGTTGATGAGGCTAGAATGCCTCAATGACTATTTTTTGCACTTTATCTTTTTCTCTGTCACATATTTTAATATTTACCAGTTATAAAGCTATTATTAGTCCTCAAGTAATGAAAATTGTCAACCTCTGCTATCAAACATAGTGAGATCATATGCAAGAGTTCTTTATGAACACTAAATTATGTAAAAAAACTTAATAATGAATGATAAGCTGTATCAATTGAAGTTAACCAAGAAGCAAGAAAAGAAAGGCTTCTTGTAATGTTTGACATTTTCATCGTTCAGGCTTCATTCTCTGTGTCACTGATAGAGACACACCAGTGTAGGCGCTATGGTGAATCTCCCATGTGTGTTGCAGGCAGGAGAAATTTCTTACGCAAAAGCAGGAGGAAAACACACACACACACACAAACACACACAGAATTATTTTTATGTTCACATCCATGTAAATGCTCTAAGTCAATTTCAGCCTAAGAATTAGGTAAAAACTCTCTTACTGGAAACTTCCACATTCTTCCAACAACAGAAGTGGGAACACAGATCGGCAGACAGATGGAAACGATCTGAATTCTCAGTTGTGCTGACTTAAGATTACATTCACTGGGAGCAGTAGAAGACAGAATGACGTGACCACTGAGTTCTAGAAACTCGAAAATTTAATTTAAACATGGGTTTCCAGGGTTCCAGGCCCCTGCACGAGATAAGGAAACCCCAAGAATTAACCCACAGATCACCAGCATTGTCAGCTGATAATTGGACTTCAAATCTTCTGGAGAAGAAACAATGCAGAATAATGCAATTATTTATTCGTGATTCCCCCCTTACCTGTGTGCCCTTTGCAATCTAAATCAGCCTTAGTTTTCCCACAGAATCTGTTGAGAAAGTCCTGTTTCTCCTGCGATTTGAAGCTATCACACTCTGTAGGCTTATTTTTCAACGTTTCACTTAAGCTGCTGTTATTTTGCTTGGTGCTGTAACTTTGATTGAGGTTGTTTTGATTTTCCTGTAGTTCTTGTCTACACTGAAAAACTAAAATTAAACATAACTCAACAATGGTTATAAATACTAAATATTGAAATTTAAGATTTGAGAAAATGCCTCATGTTGACAACAATATATATCAGTTTAATTGCCGTTTTGACATTTACAAAATAACAACTCATTTAATTCATTAAAGAGTTGGAAACATCAATTTCTCCCTATCACCAACTTCAATATAAAGTAAATGATAAAGTGGAATTAAACTATGGTGGGAGAATGTTACCTTCCAATTCATTCATCTTTTTCTCAGCATAAAACTTACAAATAAATATCTAACTAAAAAATTCAGTCAACCTTTGACATACACTAAAAATATGAATTAAGAAACATGAAGAAATGACTCAATTCTCAAAGAACGAGGTGGAAAGCATGATATCCAGACATGTAGTTACATTTTATCACAATCTGGGAGTGATTTCCTCCAAAGATGTACAGGAATTCAGTAAGACTGAAGCTTTAAGATCTCTGTACACATCTAGACTTTTACACAACCATGCCTTTAATATACACTGAGGACAAATGAAAAGAATGCACAACTCTCTCTCACAGAATGTTCACATAACATTCACAGTCTCAGAGATGGTGAGGACTCCCATGGGGAATGACAAAGTCTGCCACATAATTTGAGGCAAGACCAACCCCTCCCCCTCCATATCTAGGATGAGCAAGGTTTTCCTTCATAAGGAGTGGGCTCGAAAAATCAAGTTCCTGCATTTTGGATAAATAGTGGTTCCATAAAATAAGATTATGTAAATTAATAATAATAATAATAACAGCTACAACAATATAATAATAATAAAGATTCACAATCTCCCAAGCTCACAAGGCAGACTATCACCAAGTTCTCAGAATGAACTTGACCAAGAATGAGAATAAACAAAAACTGTCAACAGCCCAAAAGTTAATGAGATAGGTATGTATATAAAGTATAGTAATGATGTAGTGTGCAGGGATTAAAATATATCCTAAATCCAGAGCTTTGTGACACATACCCTGATTATTGCAAGAACAATCGCCAGAGAGTGATAACTGCATAATTAGTGTCTAAAGTTATTACTTAAGCAGAAAGTCAAAAAATATGTTCACCAGTTACTCACTGAGTGTCACCAACACTGCAACTGTCACCAGAAGAATGAAACAAAGGATTCCAAGAGGTATCACAATGAGGAGCCAGGGGACTGAAGATTCTTAAGTCAATAAAACAAAGCAAGAAAACCATCACTGTGAAAACAGCATGTTCCAATACTGATTATAATTTTGTGTAGCATGGAAACTATGGTATATTGGCTTCTAGAATTTTTACAGAAGTCCACCATACAAACTCACTGAGAATGTACTTTCAAAACTGTGAGCACCTGCTTTAGAAATCTTACATGCATGAAATATCACAGGATTTCAAACTTTTTTTCAGCTTTGACTTTGTAGTCCCAATCCTCCAGACTCAGCCTAGAAGTAGCTGGATTATGGGCATGTGCCCCTCATCTAGTTCTACAGGATCATAAGTGCATCCTTTAGAAAGCACTGGGGGCACAGATACAGTCCAAGTGGAAGATCCCAAATTGGAGGGTACAGTCCATCAAGGGAGAATAACTGGGGATGAGGAGGAAGGAATGAGAGGTGGATGGTCTTAAAAGCTGTAGGGAACCATGGTGATTCTAGAGCTGATTTTTATATAGGTCCACCATTAAAGGAGCCTAGAAGTCAACTCTCACTTTTAATTTAACCTAAGTTTTATTTTTCTCTGGGTAATATAAACCACCTTCATGTATCTGAGGTGTTGGGAACTGGAAAGCCAAGCTTCGTTTATCACTATGTCAAAGAAGTTAAAGTTATCAGCTTAGAGTTCATTTGTGACATTATATGAAGAGTTAGAAGAAAAAGAAAATAGAATTCTTTAATTAGTAAGTTTGATTATTCTTTGATATTTCTGCAAATACATAATGTGATTTAGTCATCCCCACTCAAACTACCCTCTCTGATGCCCCATCTCTTCCTCTGCAGCCTTCTTCCCAGGAAGAGACTCCCTCATGTGATAGATGACTTTTTGTGCATCTTTATATTACATGTTGGGACATAGTTAAAAAAATGAAAACACTTTCTGCTAGAGTGAAAGTATTTTTATATAGTATACTTTTCATCTTCTTTCTCTATAATGCTTGGTGTTTCTTCAGACTCGAGTATGTTATTTTTAAAGGTATCAGAATACTTTAAGAGACTTAAAATATCCTCTTAATTGTTTCGCAAATATGACAGAATATATTCTCTTCTTTTTTTCTCCATTCTCAGTACTGGGGAGGCAGAGGCATGTGGATCTCTGAATTTGAGGCCAGCCTCTTCCACTGAGTATGTTTCAGGAATCCAGGGCTACACAGAAAAACCCTTATTTGAAAAGCAAAAAAAAAAGGTAAAATAAAATGAAATAGGTTTTAGTCAGATATGGTGGTACGTGCCTTTAAATCCAAGCACTTGTGAGACAGTGACAGGCAAATCACTTTGCATTGAAGGTCAGTCTGGTCTACAAAGTGAGTTCTGGGACAGTCCAGGCTACTAGAAAGAGGAAACTATGTTTCAAAAAAAGCAGTAAAAAAAAAAAAAAAACAGTAGGGTTTTTGTTTTCAATAGCCGCCTGTAGGATACTGTTTTCAAAATCTGAAGTTTATGATGCATTAAAAATAGGTGAATGTTCCCCATCTGTTCAGAGGATCTTGCCTCGTTTCTCTTCTCTTGGGTACCATGCATATCTTTTAGGTTTTTTCCTGTTTCCCAGATCCTCTGTCAGTGGAAGTGCAGACTGGCACTCTCCTGATCCATGTCTAAAATCCATATATGTATGAGTACATACCATGTTTGTCTTTTTGTGACTGGGTTACCTCACTCAGGATGGTTTCTTCCAGTGCAGGGGGATCTGGGAAATAGAGAGGGGGAGAAGTGGAAGAGAGAGTAGGTCGTGGAGGAACAGGAAGGTTGACTCGGGGGGTCAGATAGGGGGAAGAGGGAATCACAGGTTAAAAGACTGATCAGGCACCATTGTGATCTCTAGTGATCTAAAGAGATGACACCAATTGGCAAGCTAAGCAATAGTGTAGAGACCACCTCGAATGACCATTCCTGATAGTGAACTTGATGTCTATAACCATCCTGGAGCCTTCATCCAGTGACTGATAGAAGCAGAGGCAAACACCCACAGTTAAATACTGAACTGAACCCAAGGAACCCAGCGACAGAGAGAAAGGAGCGATGAGCAAATTGGCAAAGAATGGGCTGGCAAAACCAGCAGAAACAGCTGATCCAAACAGGGGAGAATTCTTGGACCGCAGACTTACAGCTGGGAGGCCAGCATGGGACCGATCCAGACCCCCTGAATGTGAGAGTCAATGAGGAGGCCTGAGCTACCTATGGGGTCCTGAGCAGTGGATCAGTGTTTATCCCTTGAATACTAACAGATATCGTGTGTCCATAACACAAAGAGGGTTGCTCTCTCTGCCTGGACTCTTAGGGAAGTGCCTGGACCCTACCCTGAGTGAAATGATAGACTCTAGATATCCCCTATGTGGAAGGAATTGGCAATAGGGTGGGAGAATGGGGGGGGGGGTGGGGGTGCGGGAGGAGGGGAGGCAGAGGGAGAGGGAACTGGGATTGACATGTAAAACAAGCTATTTAAAAATTTTAAAAAATAGGTGAATGTAGACACTTGAAACCCTTACCTCTGTGACCAGATTCTTTGGACACTTGAGTCTCATCAGGCCTTCTTCTGCTCTGCAACCCTGAAGACTTATGGAATCTCACAGTTGTGTAAGTTAGTCTCCTCACCACTCATCTTGGGAGTAAGTGAAATATGGTCTGTGTTAAAATCAAACCTTGAGTGATTTCTAGAGAAAAAGTTAAAATGTCCACCTTTAGGAAGGTACCTGGATCAGATGGGGTGGTAAGGGTGAGGTCCGAATAATCCCCCTAGTGATGAAAATACCCTAAATCACATGGACTGCCTGGCAGTAGTGGCACACACTTTTAAACCCAGCACTAACGAGGCAGAGGCAGAGGCAGGTGGATCTCTGTGAGTTTAAGGCCAGCCAGGTCTACAGAGTTCCAAGGCAGGTTCCAAAGTTACACAGAGAAAACATGTCTCTAAAAATAAAGCAAAACAAAATCAAATAAATCATATGGGCTAACTCTGATTTGCACTAGAGATGAGACCCTTTACAGATTTCTGTCATTCGGTAATCAACTTATTATTAGGAATTACAGAAAGAATAAAAAGTCATTTTAATATTGACAGCACATATATAAAAATACTAGGAAAAATTGATACTACCACAAACCATTGAAATACTCTTAAACTGTCAATTCAGATAACAAAAAAAATCAAAGCTTTTTTCAAAGGTTTCTGAATACATGAAAATCTTAGCTTTAAATTTATTTATATATTTTGATAAACACATGGATATAAAAATGTTCTTACAATCTTTTCAATTATATACAACTCTCAGAGTTTCCCAGACACCACCATTGAATCAGTATATAAAGGTTAATACTCCAGTTGATTAACAATTTTTGGCTCCAAGTATATAATATCTCACCTGAGAATTTCAACCTCTCCACTCAGTCATATCCTACACATTTTTCCCAGGACCAGGCCTGAGAAATGCATGGAACTAGGAAAGATCCTACTTCGTGTAGTTATCAAGACCCACAAATATAAATGCCCCATGTTCCCTCATATCTGAGAATCCTGACCCAAAGTCTTCAGAAATGCTGCATAGCCTGGAGTAACTGCAGCAATCAGGAAAGTAGAATGGAGCATTGCAGAGATGTGGTGTAGGAGAAAGAAACAGTAGGATACAAGCTGAAGTTGGAGTCTCACGTCATTCGGTGTACATGATTATTTGACATGTACTATTCTATAACATGATGGTTCAAGAGGAACCTATTAGATAATAAATTTTGTCACTATACATCAGTCATTAGTTAATGTCCATAAAGGATCCATTTGATAACAGATATCAATGTATTATTCAATAGTTAAATATTTATAACTTACCTTGCCCCTAACATTAAAAACTGAGAAGATAGTTAGTTATTAATATATAAAATATGGAAAACAAGTTGCACACATAACAGTATTCTCTAAATTTTTTTAATCTATGAAGTTTCCTGGAATTATTTACATTTTACCTTTTTTTCTTGAGAAAAAGGAAACTTCCCATTACAGAATTATTTTTTAAAATGCTATTTGTTATATTTGTTGTTGGGGGTGCTGATACTTGAGCAGTGTGTGGTGCATGTGTCCGGAGGATATCTTTATCGAGTTAGTCCTCTCATTCCACTTTTATGTGGGTTCCATGGATCAGATTCAGGCAACCAGTCAGGCTTGTGTAGTGAGTACTTCATACACTGAGCCCTCTTACCTGGCTCCTATTATGACTTCTTCAAAATGGATAATATGTAAATATTTAACCAACTCAAGCGTAATTAACTCCTAGAACATTCGACCTTATTTCTTTAGCACACAGCAGAAATCAGAAAAAAAATAAGCAATAACCAGCACTGAACTCCAGTTTTCACATGGTGCCAGTCAACCAGATCGATCCCGCGCTCACATCACATCACCCGAAATTCCCCATAGTATATTTGATCATATGATAGAAAAACAATAAAAGAACTTGTTACCTGTGTCTGTACCTGAAATCGATTCTTGTGCAGAGAATTGATCCCCCAAGTTAGGGACAAGTTGACCTTCCTTGGCCTGTATCCTCTCTGATGTTCCAAGAGAAACGGCAGAACGGAATCGCCTGAGTGATACTCCAGCTCACGATATTCTGCTCCACCTCTTGACCAAAAAGAAAAGAGGAAACTGTATGGTGAAAGCTGATGCTGACAGAGGAAAAAACCAAGCTACCATGTCAGATGCTGCAAATCATGTCCGTAATCCTGAGAAGATAAATGTATCTGCAAGAAAGTAAAACCCACGTCCTAACAAAAACACCAGGAGAAGGAGGTGACTGAAGTTCCTCCACTCCTAATTTTGTAATAGGTGGATTGGAAGGTTTTCTTACATCGCTATTTGAAAAACTAAAATTACTTCCTGTTTTTGAATTATGGTTATTACAGTTAAGTGTATTTTAGGAATGCCTTTAATGGACTCAGATTTTCACTGTTAAGCTTTTACTTTGTGCTCTTTTAGCATTTTATTCATAAAGAATGTTTACAGTGGAAGTTAATGTCATTCCATTCAGAGAGGTCTTGGGTCTGGGATATCAAATCTAAGACATTATGCATGCCCAGAAAGTGCTCTCCCAGGAACAACAGACTTAGACTTTCTTTTTGTTTTGTTTTGAGCTTTTTGGTGCTATTTTGTTTGTTTATTTTTATCTTTTTTGAGACAGTTTTACTATGTAGCATAGGCTGGTCTCAAACTGAGTCCCCTTAACTCAGTTTCTTCAAAGCTGGGATTTTATATTTATAACACCACACAAGTTTATTCCATGTTTCTAATTCAAATTTTCTAATATATAACAAAGTTTTACATTTCATAAATATTTATCTTCAGGATTTTTAAGGACATATAATTATCAATCATTTTATACAGCATAAAATAAGTAATTACTGTTGAATCTTTAAATTGTTGACACTGTTTTGTTTTTAACTTAAAAACCATATGGACTACCTTTTAGAATATACTTATAAAGACATTTTATGCATGAAGTCATGGAATCAAAAAAGACAATTAAGGAACTCTAATGCAGATTATCATACACCCTCCAGCTCATTGATAGTATGCCAGTTGTATGTGAAGATAATGACAATTGCTTTTATTTGAAGCTGAGATAAGGTGGATTTTTCTTCTATGAGTTTTGCCCATGGATTTGTAATGAGAAATCCTAGGAAGAAGTTGAGTCAACAAATACTGATTTGCTGATTATTGACAAAAATTACAGTGAGGTGGAAAAGTTGAAATGTTATAGATTCAGACCCAATTATTTACTACATTAACACCCCGTGACTAATAAATAAAATCAAAGTGAAATCTATTATCTTCCACCAACCTGAAAGCTAAGAATGTCATCTCAAGGCCTATAGGAAAGTTTCCCCATCTTGCTGTAACCACCTCTCTGATGTACCAATGTATAATAAGTTTGCCTTGATTTATAACTTTCTCAGCTCTGCAAAAATACAAAACTTAATGAAACTACTTCCACACTAGAACATGGAGCCATGGTCACTCAAACTGGCTCCAGAAGAAACTATCTTTTAATAAATTAAATGTCAAATGTGGATTTTGCATCAACAGATCTTCCTTCAAAACTCTTGGTGTGCACATTGTCAGTGAGGCCTCACTTTCTAACCCTGAATGCTGAAGATTCTAGAAACATCTTTGCAATTTGGGGTAGAGTTCAAGAAAGGGCTTTGCTTGGCATGTGCAAAGGCACAAGCTTGACGCCAACAAGCACAATGGTGATGGTGGGGATAATGATGATGAAGATACAGGTAGGAGGAAAACAAGACTATTTGATTTCTATAGTCTGCTTCCTTGAGCTAACCCTTGTCAGAATATGCTCAAATCTCTCACTGAAACCTACTTTCATGTGATTGTAGATTTTCTAACAGTATGGCTTGTTTTTGATGAAATCAATTTAAATTGTTCTTCAAATCAAGTAATGGAGCACTGGGGGATGGGGAGTGAAGTGGAGAAAAAAAAGGAACTGATCTTGCAATGGCAAGTGTGACCCCCATTTGAGGAAAGCAGAACTAGACTCTGTGCTTCCCTCCTCCTTTACTAACTTCCAGCCAGCATTTGGTCTTCTCTCTCTTAGCCTTCATTCACTTCCACCCCCAGTGTTTGCTCCTATTTCACAATCTTCTATTCTCACCACTAGGTTATATAACCTATGTCTTACACAGACAGTTTCTGTCTCATTGCATTGTTCCTTTTGTAGACTTAAAAAATCTTTTAACTTTATTATTATTGTGTCTAATGAGTGTGTTTGATATCAAATGCATACATGCCTTAGATTGCAATTCAGGGTGAGAGGACAACTTTGGGTATTGTTAGTACTTTGCTCACAGTTTGGGTTCCATGTATCAAATTTGGGGAGGTCATCAGGCTTGTGTGAGCAATGCTTTTACCCATGCAGACATCCCACAGGTCCACTTCATGGTTCTTAAGCCATGATATCTTTGAGTAACTACTCAACCTAACATCATAAACAAGATGCTCCCAGAAATAGTTTGCAGACATCTGAACAGTTCAGTAAGCCAAGCTAGAATACCTCTAGATAGTACCATTTGTCTCTATCCTCAATATACAATAGATCAGCAATAAGTGGCAGGGCCCAGGGAGCCACTGCTCCTTTCATAGTTGACTGTGGGCGATACTCAGCTGGGTTGACTTCCTGCTACTTCTCACAGGCACAGCTGCTATCCATGACCAAGCAGGTTCTCCATCTAACCACCTTCAACAACTCCATGTAACCCACACATCTTTTAAGTGGCATATCCCAACCTGTATCTTTCTGAAGGGCGGTAACACTTCCCATTTTTCCACGCATCTTCCAACCTACCCTTTGTCCAAGCTCAAAAATGGGTGGCTCCTGAGTCAGTGCAGCATACTTCTTTAATTCTGATGACAAATTCTGAAACAAAACACGATGATTTCCCTGCTAAGTAATCCTGGGCTGTCTCATTTGGTAATGATTTGATAAAAACAAAACCAGAAATTCAGATGACATGATGTGATGCTAAATCGTCTGTTAGCCATCCTAGGTCTGATGTGGTTATACACTGCATTATAGTATTGATGCTAATGATAAAATGCT